TATTATCATTATTATTATAATCATCATCATTGATAATTCCATTGTTTTTGCTGTTGTTGCTGTTGTTATGGTTGTTGCTGCTCTGTTTTGGTATAATCTGATCATTAGTATTTCACCATTACATAATCATTAGTATGTTATGCCTCTATTATATGTTTACTTATTTCTATTGCTATGATTATTATCATTATTATGTTTATCAATATTATTTTATTATTATAGTTCTATTATTCTTGTTTTTATTATTTTATTATTATCATTACTATTATTATTATTCTTTGTATTATTATTAGTATTATTATTACTATTTCAGAAACTAGCAGAAAGAGTCTTGCCAGAAAGCAAATGCAGATCAAACCGCTCAACAATGGACATGATCTTTCTATTTGTCAGCTACAAGAAAAATGCAAGGAGCAACAATACTGCGTTCGTCGATCTGACAAAGGCTTTTGATACAGTCAGTAGATCAGGACTGTACATGGTGCTTGGAAAAATAGGCTGTCCCCCAATACTGCTACAGCTATTCATCTCATTCCACGAAGATATGAAGGCCACATTTAGTTGACGGTTCAACATCAATAGCGGAGTAAAGCAAGGTTGTGTCTTTGCACCAACCCTTTTTAGCACTTAATGTGCTGTCTTACTGCAACACGCATTCAAAGAGTCACCAGGGGATGTCTTCCTCCACTGGAGAACCGATGGGTCGCTCTTCAATCTTTCTCCACTCAAGGCCAAGACCGAGATCAACAAAACAACAGTACGAGACCCTTCTCTTCGCCGATGATGCTGCTCTTGTTTCTCACAGTGAATCAACACTACAAACAATGATGGACCGCCGGTCTACAGCATGCAAGGTCTTTAGCTTGGTCATCAGTGTTAAGAAAACAGTCATCCTTACCCAAGAAGGTGCAAACCAGAGCCCTATATGGCTCAACGACAAGGAACTTGAGACAGTGGACAAGTTCTGTTACCTGGGGTCTACCATCAGCTCTAGTACATCACTTGATTATGAGATCAACATCAGGATAGGGAAAGCAGTAACAACTTTTGGAAGGCTGACAAAATGAGCATGGGAAAACAAAAGATTAACCATCAAAACAAAGATCAAGATTTACGAAGCATGTGTCCTCAGCACACTCCTTTAGGGATCTGAAACATGGACCTTGTACAGCAGACAAGAAAAGCGCCTCGACATTTTCCATCTCAGATGCTGCCGCAAGATCTTAGGCATTTCGTGGCGTGACAAGGTTACAAATGTTGAAGTGTTGGCACGGGCAAACCTCCAGAGCATGACAACTATCCTGTGTTTAAAAAGATTGTGGTGGCTGGGCCATGTCAAGAGAATGGATGACAACCGGATTCCGAAAGCAGCTTCTCTATGAAGAACTTGCCCCGAGAAAGAGACCAAGAGGAAGACCAAAATTGAGGTACAAAGACACTTGCAAAAACAGCTTATCTAAGCTTGGAGTAGATGTTAGCATTTGTGAAGAAATAGTTGAGGACAGGAAAACATGGAGGAAAATGATAAAGGAAAGAACTATAATTCTAGAGAGCAGCCTTAGAAACGAACCAGGCTGAGAAGCGCCAACGACGAAAGGAAAACAGCGAAAATACAGAGCTTCGATCTACATCACTGACATGCAAGCACTGCGACAGAATCTGCACTTCAAATATAGGAAGAATTAGCCCTGAAAGAAGTTGCATGAAGATAACCTTGTGACCTTCTTAAGCTAAATTGACCGTGTGCATAGACGAAAAGAGCCATATTATTATTATTATTATTATTATTATTATTATTATTATTATTATTATTATTATTATTATTATTATTATTATTATTATTATTATTATTATCATCATCATCATCATCATCATCATCATTATTATTATTCATTTCATTACCATGATTATTATTATTATTATTATTATTATTATCATTATTATTATTATTATTTTCATCATCCTCATCGATGTTTTCAGTATTATCATCATTACTGCTGTATTATTATTGTTGATGCTAGCATCAGACTAGTCACACCCACCCTCCACTTCTTTTCCCTAATCAAACATTATGACGGGCAGGTTAAGAAGAACGAATTCTTTAATAAAATCACACCGGGCCATTCAATTCATCGCTTGATGTGTGGTGTCCTTTTGAGAGAGAGAGCTGGGCTTGATGGATATTTTGTCTCATTGTGTGTTTGTTTATTTGTTTGTTTTGTATGCTTCCTTGGAAGCTGAGCTTGTTTCAGAGTGCTCTCGGGTCAGCTGGGGTAATAGTATAGATTGTAAAGCGCATAGAGTTTGCTGCTGAGCGGGGATTTGCGCTATACAAATGCTATCTGTTATCTATTATTGTTTTTAGGTGGCGAGATATGAGAATGGGAAGTGAAAAGGATGTATATGCCTATACTGGAAGAGACAACGTGCACTGTAAGGTGGAAAGAAGAGCATTAATGATAAATAAAACAACTATTTTCCAAAGTAAAGATAAAACAAGAAGCACAAGAGAGAGAATGGAAGGGGAATATAGGTAGGGGGTTCAGAGGGAGGGGGTAGGGAGGGAAGGGGGTAAGCGTGAGAGAAAGAGGGAGAAAGAGAGAGAGAGAGAGAGAGAGAGAGAGAGAGAGAGAGAGAGTCAATGTGCTAATGCTATAGTCACACAGACTGAGCCACAAGCCTGTCATTACGAGATGTAAAAGACAGACATCAAATCATCTTGGAACAACGCCGTCAGTAACAATTACGTGTGTTGTACAACTACATTAAGATATGGAGTGCGTCTGTGTATACATGCTTATTGTTCTTGCCTCGCGGAAGAAAGGTTTCCCTCCCCCCCCTTAACACTGCCACCAAAACGCGATCAATATTCCTACGCGATTCCATACGCATAATTTCGACCAATCGGAGCTTCGGGATTTTGATAGCGAGGGTGCTTCGGCTCAGGAACCAAATCACCGCCCGCACACAAAGTTTGCAGTTAGCAAGGCTGTGCCGACTTGAATCCATTCCCTATAAATAGGGAGGGGTGAATGCAGCAGGAAAAGTCTCAAAATTTGGTAGAGCGGAAAGGAACCATCATTGAAAAAGAAACTACAACTTTGAAATTTTTGCCATACTCGCAAAGTAGAAGTTCATATCAGTGAAAATTGAAAATTTCAAGACTTTTGGGAAAACTGTAAAAGAATTCTGATTGCGAAATAAGAAAGACATCTTTGAGAAATTCGCTTCTACCAAACAGAAAACATAAATTTGGCTTTAATTCATCGTCAAGAATGCAAACGCAACAACTTGAGAGCTAACGTTGTTAAATTAATATAAACGAATCTCGACATTCATTTCTTGGATCGAGGGAGACAATCTATCTCAATTCCAGTTTTTTTGTTGCTTTCTTGAGAGGAGCTGTGCTCATCGGAAGTTCAACTTGCCCCCACTTACCTTCAGGTAGGTGAAGCAGTTGCCATTTGCTTTAAACGTTGACATTTTACGCCTTGTTCCAGTGATCGAATGCTCATTTTGCTCGCTGTATAATGACACGAATTGCGTGTCAGAGGTATATTATTATCATTGAGGGAAGGTATTGAGTGATGAGTTAATCAGGCTGTCTGAAATCGTTACCGCTTGTGTTGTGTTTGATAGATTGTCACTCCTTAGTCCTTGCTTTGCCGGGAATTGGTACTCGTGAAGAATGAATTTTTTTATGGAAGTATTGTTCCGATTGTGGATAACGTTGCTGTGCTTGTTATTGTTATCGTTAATGATGTTGTCGTCGTTAATGATGTTGTTGTTCTTGATGTTTTTTACTGTTGTTTTTGTTGTTGCTGCCCTTGTTGTATGACACTGCTATTGCTATATTGTCCTTTTTGCTGGTGAAGTTGTTTCGGAATTGTTATCGTTTCTATCACTGTTATAGGATCATTATTATCATCCTTATTGTCATGCGTCACGCTGTCGCTGGGGTTTTTTTTCACATGTGTTTTGTGCTCATTGTTACTGCCATCATTTTTTTTTCTTTTTGTTGTTGTTGCTGTTGGGGTTTTGTTTTGTTTTTTGTTGGCATTAATTTTGTTCTTTAGGGGTGCTAATTGTGCGGGTCAGTGAATACATAAATATATAGATGACAACGTGCAGAAAGAGCGATGAATAAATAAAAACCCAAACGAAACTAAATCATTACAACGATGGATAGAAAAGGTCAGAAAACTGATATGACCTGCATCAGCTTCCCAATAATGGGCATCAGCTCCTATTTTGGTTTAGTTATTTCTGTGTGTGTGTGGGGGGGGGTTGTAAGGTCATTTTATATGCGCGCGGGACACGTTAAATATTTTTAGTTTGGTAGGAATTTATTTTGAATTTTACCCTGGTGGCAGCCACAGCCTACTCTTGTCAATTTAGACCAACAACGAATCTTTAACGAACGCAAGTTGCACACGCGACCTCCTAGATTTCTCGCCCTTATCCGAGAAGGCTAGGTGTTAGATCTTACTTACCCTAAGATCAGGTGTGTGAAAGACAGTAGTAAGAAGGAGCCAATGAGTAGATTCCGGCCGTAGATAGGATGCACAAAGAGTCAGGAACCCAGAGGAGGGGGCAAAAAGGGGGCGAGGCAGAAAGTGGAGATGAAAGCAGATGATAAAACATGGTTAGAGAGTTGGAAAGGAGGTGAAAGGAAAAAATTTAAAAGACCAAAATTTTCTGTAGCTGCCAGATTTCGAACCCAGGACCTATTGAATGAAAGGCAAACACCGTAACCTCTAGACCACGAGAGCCCCCTGGTTTAGTTGTCCGAAAATAGGAGAACAAACACGTCGACACAATATCGTTCATTTAGCTATAGAAAATTTTTTTAAAGAGTACTGATATAAAGAAAGGGCAGATAGAGGGAAAATGGGATCTACACAAGCGATACTCTCCAACCTGGGTTTTTTTTCTTTATTCTTAACTTACTGAAGACTGAAGACGCGCATTTTGGATATTCGAAAACGCCCGAAGACGTGCTGTTAAGGTACATAACTTTGTTAAAAATTTAAACAGACATTTCAATTTTGTTTTCTTTGTGTGAAACCGTAAAGCCATACTATGGCAATCGTGCTTGAAATATACATTTTACAAACTCGTACTTCTGCTTTACGTATGATGGTTGAAATTAATGTGCCACTACATTGTCTTCACTCAGCTGCTGATCGGACGTATAGTTTTGTGTCCGCGATGAAAATTATGAAATGGAATGTTGAATTATTATTATTATTATTATTATTATTATTATTATTATTATTATTATTATTATTATTATTATTATTATTATTATTATTATGTATAACGCCTCTATTAGGTTAATAATTGAGAGGCGGAACCTCCGAGTTAAACATTATTATTATTATTATTATTATTATGTATAACGCCTCTATTAGGTTAATAATTGAGAGGCGGAACCTCCGAGTTAAACGTCCATCTCCGAAAGGACAGAGCCAAATGGAAAATTCGTTTAAAGTGTCTTTCCTAAGAACACAATGTCGAACCGACTGATTACGGATCCAGTAGCCTAACCACAAGACTATCGACGCCTTTTGTGTCCACTACGTGCTTAAAGTGGAAACAAAAGTGCCCTAAACATTGCAAAATAAAGAGTCCAGGTTGGAGAATGACATACAAACCGAGAGAATGCGACTACGGTTTTGTTGATTGTTGTCTTATAAATCGTCTGCATCGGTGTCTGTGGTGTAATGGTTGTTAGCTTTGCTGTAGCACGCAGAAGCTTTGAGTTCGATTCCCTTGTGGGGAGGATTTTTATTGAGTATCTCAATCCTTTTCCTGGTACGTTGTATCCCTTTCAGCACGGGTTGGCCCTAGCAGGCAAGACCAAAGTCTGCCTGGTGGATGATCAAAATTGTGTTGAAACCTTAAAGCCATGCTACGAGAGACGACAGAGAAAGAGTGAAAGAAAGAGGTGGGGTGATAGAGCGGTGGGAAAAGAGAATGAGAGAGAGAGAGAGAGAGAGAGAGAGAGAGAGAGAGAGAGAGAGAGAGATAAAACGAGAAGGATAGAGATAAAGAGGAGCGGGAACAGAGAGGTGATCGGGTGATAGATAATTATGATTATCAAGAGAAAACGAGAGAAAAGGACTATAGCAAGAGACAGAGAAAAGAAAAAAGGAAGGGGGTGGTGATAAGACATGTTCATTTTTTTTAATTGCCTGCACACCAGTAAAAGATGCTGCATTAGGATGCTTTGAAACACGTCAACGTTCATGATTTCTCAACACACCGAACGAAGAAAGATTATCGTCCTATCGGAGATGAACGTGAGATTAGTTAAGACATTCCACCTTTTACATGGCCTTACATTGCTTATGGAGACAATGAACTCATACCATACCACAGCAAAGTATTTGTAAGCCTCATAAAGTTATCTAAAAGATGTCAAGCTTTTGAACTGCTTGACAGCATGCCTTGTCAATTTGGGTCAACGGAAAAATAAAAGAAGAAGTAAAGTGTAGCCTACCTTAAAAGCATGACAATCTCATTTCAAAGTATAAAATTCGTCTTTCTGATATTATTGACCTTTTACACCACCCAAGACAGTCCATGGAGGATAAAATTCATACGAAAGATTTTGTGGTGATAGCCTCAAACAAAGGCTACCGTGTGCAATTTTCTCTGTTTTCTGATCAGGTCATGGAATCGTTGAACAAAAACATGTACGGTAAGAGTAGATAGGTTTTAAGAGGCGGCATGTTTATTGTATTTATTGTTTTAAAGCGCTCAATAACATTTGAACTGGTTTTCATATTTCATGTGGCCAACACCCCATTGGATGTAAATACAATCGAACCTGTGCAACATGACCTCTCATTGCCGTGGAAAAAAGTGGTCATCTTAGGTCATTCTATTGGACAGTGTCATTATAATATAGATGAAAAATGCAAGGGAGGAGGGGAGATGGGGACTTGGTCATTAGAGTTAGAGAAGGTCAGACTGTATTTAGAAAACTTGGACGAGAGAAGAAAACAGAAAGATGTAGAGATAGCGCAGATGCCGTTTCGAAGAAAAGTTTGCTCTTGTGCTGAGAGAGTGGGAGATACGGAGGAGGGAGGGATAAACACGCACAAACATACTCATACAGAGAGAGAGAGAGAGAGAGAGAGAAAACGAGAGTGATAGAGAGGGGCGGGAATAGAGAGGTATTCGGTTGATAGATAATTATGATTATATAGAGAAAACGAGAGAAGAGGATGGGTAGAAACAGAGAAAGAGAAAAAGCAAGGAAGGAGGGGGTGGTAAGTGAGAAGGTGAAATCGGGAGAAAATATTAAAGGGAGAGATATAGATCTAGATGTATATTTATGTCACGAGGGGGGTGGAATGAGGTCTGGTAAGTTTTGAGACGGAGCTATTGGTATTATCTTAGAGCCTATTCATTTGCCTACCTTTTAGTGAAATAAAAGAACCCATCTATCTCAAATAGAAGCAGATATATTTGTGACTGAAGGAGGGGGGGGGGTCACCTAGAGTCTGAGGTAAAATAAGCGATAAAACGGCCACCAAAATTTGGTGAGTTCTAAAGCTTGAGTGTCCTTGGTAACTGCAAATTTGCGATTTTTTGTGCTTTTGACAAAAGTTTTTCTGTCAAAAAAGCATACAGAATTGTGTTTTTAAATGGACATAAAAGGTGTTGAGCCACCAAAGGAAAATCGATAAAAATTGCCCAACGGCCGTAAAAAAAAGTGTCGGTTTTTTTTAATTTCATTATTTTGACGAGGCCCTGATCTCACAACGATGTCACAGAGATTATGTTCTAGGAGAGAATATCAGTGAAGAACATGTTTAATTCACTGTGGACACCCACTCTAGTCAGTCGACATTGCTTGTAAATACGCTGTTTGGGGGAAACTTTACAAAACAAGCTTGACTTCGCTATTCAGAAAGATTTTTGTCAATTGTTGTTTTTTTCTGAATACTAAAAAAGCAAGCAAAAACATTTTTACCATGAACAATTAAAATTCGTGTTTCTGATTTGTATATGATGGTTACGAAATGGGCTGCAACATTGCCTTTGATCTATTGATTTGGCATAAGTGTCCACTAAGTCCATAGAGAGTTAAAACCATGTTTTTCTTTCCCATATCGTCTTTCTCCTCCTCTTAATTTCTTTCGTTTTTCTTTCCCTTCTCTCTACCAACGGACTCAAAATAAATGTCTTGTCTTCTTTTTCTTTAAATGTAGCTACTTTACGCCCCCCATTGACACACGTTAAAACATTTAGCAGGCGGGCTTCGACACAGCCGGTCAGGGGCAACATGGGTTGAGAAGAATACAAAGCCCGAGCAGAAAGACCAAAATATATTTTTAAAACTTGATAAAAATCCTCCCCTCACGAGAATCGAACTCAGTTCTTCTTCGTGAGACAACGACATCAGCCTGTGAAGACTTGCCCTCAACGAG